GAGGTTTACATATTTTGTGTTGTTGTATAAGGGTCGAAAATTTACAGAAAATAGATAATCTGAGACCGAATGAGTAAAAGAAAATTGTTCATCTGACGAGTTTTGGAGAGTTATAAAATGTATTCAACACATAAATGGAATAACAACAAAAAGTGTGAAATAAAATGTTCGGTAATGTTATAAGGATATATTACCTACCAAAATGGCATCCAAAAATCAGAAGGTATCAGAGCCATCGAAGAAGGATAGTTTATATATATATATATATATATATATATATATATATATATATATATATATATATATATATATATATATATATATATATATATATACAACTCGCCTAAACTCGTCAAGTGAACAGTTATCTTTGTACACATATGGTTTCATCTTATTTGCTTTCTTTAAATTCTCAACTGTTATCGCAAACGACTTTGACACTTCAAAATATGTAGCCTTTCTATTTTTCAATGAACTATTCCATTTTATAATCAAATGTATATACGACTGTGCAGTTTCAGTCAATAATAAAATACTTGATAACGTTGAAGAATAGTTGAATATTTCCTCCTCGTATTGGGTACTTTGATAGCGTCTACTTAGTTCTTCATTAAGAATTGTAATCAATATATTCAGCTGTTGTGGAGAGCTCATCACTTTTCAGGAAATGAAAAACAGCCGAGTAATATTACTGTTAACTAACACTTCCGGATTTGTCACTTTGCAATGTTGTGATAAAATAGAACATCGACAACCGATAAATGTCTCATCTTTATAGTCGTCGAACCTGAAAGGTCACAGCTTCTTCCTGAAACTACAGAATTCGCTTTTCTAGGACTTTACTAGTGAGCAGGACTATGGTCTACACTGAAGATCTGTAAAGATTTCACAAGTTGAAACTAAATAAAGAATAATCCTCAGATATTTTTCATATTTAGTAGTTATTATATCACCAAATCTCATTGTTATTATTAATATGGTAAAACATGCGTGGGTATTTGCTCATAGCAAAGTTACAATAAGAAACTTTTCAATAAACAAGTATTAATGTTTGTTAGTATAAACAGTTGGAGAAACATTTACTCTTCCTAATCAAAGAAAATTAATGATAACTCGATAAGAAATAATTCTTCAACGTAAAAATTACTTTACCTGGTAACATTAGCTACATGTTTACTAGTTGGTATATTCGTGATGGATTTTCACAGGTTCTAGTAAAGGATATTTTAAATTGAGTCAGTCTTTTATTGAAAAAATTAGTTATCAATGACAGTGGTTAAGAACAGATTTACACTACATATTTAATGAAGATAAAAATGCACGGCGCTTGATATTTATTCGTCGGCTTATGTAATGTGAGCTCTATCAACCTACAGAGCTTTTGCCTAGTTTCCTCCCAAGCTTCAGCCTGATTTGTTCTATCCCATAGTAGGTTATTGGTCATGGTGTCTGGCCAACGGATCTGAATTATCTCGCGTAGACAACTGTTATTAAACACCTATATCTTGTGGTTGATGACTTTCATAGTTCTGTTTGTTTCTGCCCCATACAGTGGGAGTTTTTGACATTCTTGTGGAAAATTGTGACTTTGGTATTGGCTGTCAGACAGATATTTTGATTTGCAGATGTTCTCCCATTTTAGGAATGCTTTACTTTTTTGTCGATTAACTCTCTCCTTGACCTTACTTTTCTGTTCTGTAAAACTGATATTCATTCTTTTCCTGTCTGTCCACAATTTTCAACGTTATGTGTTCTTCGGTCTACCTCTTTTCTTCCAGTGTTGAGGGTTCCAATTTAGGGCTTACCTCATGAATCAAATGGGTGATTTCCTCAGCATGTGTCTCATCCGTCTCTAACACTCTCCCCTAACTTTTAGCTCAGCTCAAATCAAGTTTGTTCTTTCTCACAGTAGGTTGCTAGCAATCGTGTCTGGCCAACGGATCAGCATTGTTTTGCATAAATACCTGTTAACAAACACCTATTTCTCATGGATAAGTTCTCCAAGTTTCTGCTCCGAAAAACAGAATGCTTTTGACATGCATATTGAAAATAATGACTTTTGTTTCGGTTGACAGTTGTTCTGAGTTCTAGATATTCTTTAGTTATAGAAACGCAGCCCTCGCTCACCGATCCAAGCCTTCACATGTACATCAGATCTGAATAGTCTATCAGTGACGCTGCCCTGCCATGTAAATGTTTCTACATCCTGCAAAGCTTCTCCATCAACCATGCGTTAGTTGGAGCATGTTGTGTTGTACCAGAGGATCTTGATTTTTTGCTTTGTGTATGTTGAAACCTACTGCAGTAGAGGCTGTCGTGACAGTGATCATCTTCTCATGCACTATTTGTTGAGCGTGAGATAGAAGAGCTAGATAATCTGCAAAGTCCAGATTTTCCAGCTGCATCCCATGCTTCCTCATACATGATGACATCTTTAGACTCCAGTCCACCACCAGGAGCAAGAGAAAGGTCGTGAGTATGCTATCTTGCCTGATATCGATCTTTACTTGCAACCAGCCTGTAAGTTGTCCTCTGTGTACTATCTTACAGTTTCAACCATCATAACAATTTCGTATGATGCTGACAGTCTTCTCAAACACTCCATATTATCAAAGAAGCCTTCACATAATATTTCATGCTTTCGACAGTGTTGAATGCTTTCTCACAGTCAATGAAGTTGATGTATGGTGGTGAGCTCCACTCAACTTATTGTTCCACAATGATGCTTTGTGTCACGTGCTATTTAGTCGGTTAACGACAGATTTTTAACGAATCCAGCCTGCTAATCTCGATTCTGAGCATCTACTGAATCATTCGTTCGATCCAGCAAAACTTTTTTAAAGATTTTTCATGGTATTCAGAGTGTAATGATCCCAGTGGGACTAAACGGTTATACCAATGTTAAAACAAATATCCATTGTGTCTTTATCCTTAAATATTTTTTACTTGATTTCACATTTTTTGGTAATATCATGAACCGATCGATGCCAAACAGCCAATAGGAATTTGTGCATAAACCTCATTTAATATACTGCAAATAAATAATCGTAGTTAACATATCAGTGATAATTTTATACTATGTAGATCATCAATGTGTTTACTGTTAATGTAATCAGCTCAATAATGATTCTTGGTTTCAGTAGTTATTTGAATAATGTAAATGAAATGATGGAATATTTTCTTAAGAAGTCGACTATTTAAGTATATTTCACCAACTTAAACCAGGGTGAAAATCAATAAATCGAAGATTACATACTTTAAACTTCATAAAAATTGTTTTGAGATTTTAAGGAACAGATTAGATGCATATTTAACTGCAGATACGAGGAAGTAAAGAACTAATTTCTTTTCACAGAGACTATCTAAGACTTGTTATCTAGCTAAGATCTAGCTGAACATATGAATTTATCTAGAAAGGTGAATGGAGTAGGTTATGTGAATCGACATTTCATTATATATACATTCAATGAAGTCAACATTCAAAATCTTATATATGAATAAACTTAAAAAGAAAGGGAATTGAAGCACCTAAATTATTTCACAATAATTGACTTATATAGTTCGAAAAATTAGTCACAGTCTAATTCATTGTGAAGTCATCAGATAAATTTGAATAAAAGTTAATCTGAAATAGATCAAAATAATTTTAAAAAAGTGAAATAGATCTGAATAGAGAAATAAGAAGACATATTTTGTGAGATAGTACCATTTCGTGCTTTCTCGTCAGTCACATACAAGCAACATGTTATTTGTGTAAATACAGTTTTGAAGATAAGGTCAAAATTTCTTATTTAGCATGACATTCACTCGACGATATTCTTGTCATATTACCACATTCTACAGACATTAATGAAATCAATGATTTATTTAATGCGATTCACCCGAATCTGAAAGTCACTTATGAGGAAGAAAAGAATAATGAATTAGCCTTCCTCGATATCCTGCTCCATCGCCGTCCAGACGGATCAATCAGGCGAAAAGTACACCGCAAACCCACCTGGTCGGGACAGTACCTCCACTTCACTAGTTTCTGCCCCATACAATATAAACGTTCTGTTGTCAAAACTTTATTCGCTCGAGCAAGTAGAATCTGCACTGCTGATACATTGAACGACGAATTCAAGCTTATTACTGACACGCTTAAATCAAACGGATATCCCGAAACGTTTATTGGTCATCAGAACACAACTATGACGAAGCTGATAGCAACTGATGTGCCCAAGAAACCAGTGTACCTACAGTTACCTTTCAAAGGTGATCATTGCATGAAAATTACAACCAAACAGACTGCAGCTGCAATAAAAAAGACCTTCAATGCAGCTAATCTGAGGCTTATCACAACAACCCAATCGATCTCAGTTACCCCAATCAAGTCTCCAAGACCGATTCAGTCCAAATCCCACTGTATTTACCAATTTACATGTAACTGCGGAGAAAGTTACTTAGGGAGGACAGATCGCCGATTGGAAGACAGGATAGGGGAACATATTCCAAAATGGTTAATCAAATCCATGATTAATCAACCTAGCCCATCATTTCAAAATCGATCAAGAAACCCAGCCTCGTCCATTGCAAAACATCTAATGATGAGTGGTCATCAAATTGATCCAAAATCAGCCTTTAGAGTTGTGACATGTAATCAAAACCCACACACACTAAAACTACTTGAAGCTATCTTGATTGGTCGGAAAAGTCCAACTTTATGTGTTCAAAAACAACTGTATGTTGACCTTTGTTTACCATGGTTCTAGTGAGTGAATGTCATGCTAAATAAGAAATTTTGACCTTATCTTCAAAACTGTATTTACACAAATAACATGTTGCTTGTATGTGACTGACGAGAAAGCACGAAATGGTACTATCTCACAAAATATGTCTTCTTATTTCTCTATTCAAATTTATCAAAGGGAACCACTGTTTTGAAATAGATCTATCCAAAAAAAACTTGAACAGTATTTTAAAAGAGAAAAACGAAACAACATTCTATACATAAGTTTTGTTTAAAATAACCAACCAAATGAAATGAGAAAATTTCCGCTCACTTTTAAACTTCCTCTTGTACAATGATCAAATACCAGGCATAAAGCACTAATGTCAACATAACAACCAATCAATGAATTGACATTTTCATTGCGTATCTCTCTTAACGAACGTACATGATCCAAAAATTTACTCTTTAATGCTGCATTATTCAATTCTAAGCGTTTTATATAAATTAAACCATTCTGTTGGATATTTTTTGTAAAAAAAGAAATGACAAAGCAATTAAAAAGAAATAATCGTAATAAGATTAATTGAAAATTGAATACCCGTGACACGTTCTATAATGAACGTTAGTTTTTTTAAGAAAAATATATTTGTAGATAAGTATAGTATCATGATTGAATGATTATTAGACCACCATCTGAAACTTAGAAGCACTAGACGGCTGTCTCGTCCTGGTATGGGACTCCTGCTACTCATAAGATTCGAACGCAGCACCTTCGTCTTAGCGCGCAAATGCCCAACTCCTGGACCACTGATTTAGACAATAACACCTTTGGACGTCAGTTCAGTGGTCCGGAGGCTAGACGTCCGCGAGCAAGACTAAAAGTTTCTGGGTTTGTGTCATGAGAGATAAGCACTTATTTGATTGTTGATTTTGTTTGGACACTTGAGTTAATTGATAAACCACTAATGACACAAGTGATTAGATTGATAACTGATTAGAATTCCAATCTAATTAAATTCAACCAGCAGCCACCCTATTAATTTCCAATATCACAATATACAGAGAATAAAACCGTTTTATCGACCATATCTAACCATCAAACACACCACAATGTCCTGTTGGACATTTTTTATGCACTTCAGAGTTAATAAAATCTGCTAACCACTGACCATCATATCACTATTAATTAAAGTCTATTTTGTTAAGAAAAGAAATATATTTACGGATTTGATATAGAATTATGAATAAAAATTTGACTGAAAACCAGATGGCGTTTTACAGGTGTTTCATTTTAGCAAAACTCCATCAGCAGTATGAGCCCACAAATTAATAACCTTCACATATTTTCAGTTCTATTGAGATCACTTAATCGGAATCCTATATTTTCAACGTTTGTAAAACTCAAACCAACTCATCTTATAGCTTAACAAGTATTAGATACTATAATTGTTTTGAGTTCAATTAAAGGAGACACATAGTTATCGAACAGATTTCAAATCATTCAAATATTTAGATACTTACATTATAACGTGCAACATTCGTGTCTTCAATTCCATCACCACTCATAACTGACACTAATGATCTGACTTGATTGTCCATTTTACCTTGATTTATATGACTGTTTGTTGATCCGTTGAGTTTTGTTTCACTAGTCATTGTTGGAAATCGTAGATCGATATTACTCTGTTGTTGCGTTGTATTTTTTTTTATTTACAAGAGATAATTAATAAAATATGAACAATTATTATTTACAATAAGTAAACATGTATAGAATTATATGCATATTTATAGTTTACATCTACTGTACAACTGTATTTACCGACTGTATACTTTTATGACAGTGTTCATAAATTGAATAATGATAAAAAACTAATCAAACAATCCATGTCTCCAATTGAAAAACATCTGGAACTCAAAACAACCATCAAAAAACACCAAAGACGGAATTTCCATTACGAATGTTAAGACGATGCTACTGTGTGCGACGAAAATTTAGAGAATTACTAAAACCATCATCCAGAAGATACAAGTGTTTATTAACAGTTATCAACACAAAATGCTTCGGATCTGTCGGCCAGACACCATCTGCAACAATTTACTATGGGATAGAACAACCTAACTTCCAGTGGAGGAGGAAATCAGTAAGAAGCACTGGAAGTGGATAGGACACACGTTACGGAAAGCACCAAACTGCGTCACAAGACAAGCCCTCACATGGAACCCTCAAGCCAAAAGGAAATTAGGAAGGAGAACGAACACATTACGCTGAGAATCAAACACAGAAATGAAGAGAGTTTATAGAACTTTTATAGAAGTGGAAAGGAAGGTCGAGGACAAAGTAGGTTGGAGAATGCTGGTTGGTTGCCTCTGCTCGATTGTGGGGCTTAATAGCCGTAGGTAAGTAAGTAAGTAATCAAACAATCATCTACTGAAGTAGTTGGTCAATTGAAAGACCTAACTCTATTGACCAAATGTCAGTATAGTTTTTAACCGCTAAAATCACATGTAAATATATAAGTAGATTGATTCAAACTAACAACATTTAAGATGTTCGTTATCTTAACCTCTTTATTTAAGTTGAGAATACATATTTTATCTGGGTATGGTTACTTTGTTTTAGCTCAGTGACTGATATAAACTTATGTCAGTATATTCGTGTGCTTCCTTGGTTTCCTGTTTTGAATGTATCATTTCTAAAAACTGAGATCATCATCACATCAGTTTCTTGATTTAACATAGTCTGATCGACTGTGTTCGAAAATATAACTACTGTTCACGTTCAAGTTCAAACTCAAAAATTAATTTCTATTACTTCTAACTTTCATTTAAGTATCGAACACTATATAAATATTTAAGTAATTATACAATGGTAACCTTAAATATTAAACATTCTAGATAGACGAAACTCATGGGATTGTTATGACGCATGATAAATAAACTTCATTATGAAGTGATAGTATTTGAACAAGAAAAATATCTATGCCCTAATGGTATGAACATTCGGTTTTGTCCTAAGTAATCAGATTTATTCCTACAGATTTAGGTACTTGGACTTAATCAATAATTGGGTTATCTGGAAGCATGCTTTTCAAATTAACCTGTGGCAGATACTTTATGTATACACGGCTAATAACAGAAAAGGCTTTTGGCATGCAACAAATGTTCACAATGACATTTTGAAACATGATTCATATATAACTAACTTACTGGTGTAGTATGTTTCACTGTTTTATGCGTTTTCATAAATACAACATCATCCGGATAAAGAATTAATTTATTCGGTCCTTCACGATACATTTTTCGTCGTCGATAACATCTGAAAGTTAAAATTAAAAAGGAGGAGTGAATTTCATTATTGACCAACTAACTGTATTAATTCTTATGGTGTTATCTAGTATCTAATGTGAATAAAAAAATAGGTTGTTCCTAAAAATAGAGGATTATTATTTACTACTGAAAGAAAGTCACTATCGATATACTACAGATAATCCGAAAACTATGAAACTTATAACTTCTTTTTTAGCTGGAGTTCAATAGAACTGGATTTATACATTTTAGAAATATAAATTTATGATAATTATTTATATCGAAAACGACAACGATAATCTCAATTAATAAGTCCCGATTATCGAATTACGAAAACATTCAACCTTCCTTTTTACGGTAATTAGGTAATGGATGTCCAAACATAACTTCGAAAAGTCCTACTTCTTGATTTCTTGCCAGCTGAGATTCGTTAAGAACGTGTATCAGAAAAATAGAATAACTTTTTTACTTCAACAAATTTTTACTTCATGTCACACAGTTTTACATCTATAGTTACTGCTACTAAATCACACAGACTGCGATGAAATAAATATCTTTCTGTTGGAGATTAGATCCCCAGAACTCGCTTGATAAATGCCTTATTTTGGTTTTCACGTTTGCCAGCATAGGCTGATCAGTTGACCTTGAGGTTTCAATTCTAACCAGGAAAATCCATGGCTGTGATTGGTTGCTGTGTATTTTAGTGTGTTATTTTCGTAACTGTCTCAAGGACGTTTCTATGATGTATAAATAAACGAGAGTTGTGTGCTTGATTGTATTGTGAATGCTGGGTGTTTGTAAAATATACTTTCTACGCTTACAAAGCCTTCTGTTACAGCTTGGGATTCAAGGTAGCCTATCTGGACGCTGGTGAACTCGTAATAACTTCAAGCGTACCTAGTGACGAATATAACAATTTCATTGTCGTGTCTTTAATACCCAATGAATTCTGCTGTTCAACACTAAATACTAATCATCAATATGTCAGTAATAAGATGGCTACCAGTTAAAGCCTTGTTGTTTTCAAATGGAATCACCGAAATCTTTTTCATCAATACACGCCTTCAATCTAAGCGTCATTTGAGTTTTGATAGTAGCAGCTTCAATAAAATCGTTCACAAGTCATTAGAACCATTACGTTAACACGTGATGAATAGAAATCTGCAGCCAGTTAGTGTGTGTTAGAGTGAGCGAGAGAGAGAGACTGAGAGATGAGTAAATTACTGATAAATTTTAAAACAAAAGCATGCACTTTATCGAGAACACTGTAAAGAATCAATTTGTTAAAAGAAAATAAAAGATCATGAGCACTTTTAAATCTATTCACTTTAGTAGTTATCTGGTGGAAAAATAAATAAATCCAACTGAACAATGAACGGAGAGCAGAAATTTAAAACAAAATAATAGATTCGAACTCATTGTATGTAGTATTTTGGTGAATTCTATTTTCAATGATCATAGGCATTTCTAGTTCGTCTGTTTGTTTGTTTGTTTGTTTGCTAATGTGCTTGTTTTGAATAACCTTGGGAAAAATAACTGCTTATAGGGTGTAACTGTACCAAAAACTCCGATCAGGATAATAAAAGTATTCAGTTTTTTTTACTGTAGATTATAAACGATTGTTGCATTTTGAAAATTGTTTTTTGTTTTTTAGAAAATATCTCCCGTGATTTATGAAAAGTAAAGAGTTATTTGTTATTAATATGCTGATATAATCGGGTTTATCTCAGAGGGAATAAAAATGGTGCATTTGATAACAAGATTATGATAAGATTATTTTAGTACTTTTAATGCCTAGTGTGGTTTGTAATACATTTAGCCAATATCATTGTCAATAACCTGTTTGTTTGTTGTCAGTGTATCAGAAACAGTTCAGGAAATGTCATATATACTTATTGACCCGAGTTATTGAAGTCCACATCGGGGAGAGGAAATCAGAAAGATGAACATGGAAGATGTTTAGTTAACGACATTGATGACAACGGAAGTCGATACAAAGTATAGTTGTAATAATAATAAAAACAGTAGTAGAAATCAAAACAAGATTTCAAGGAGATACGTAAAATAAAGAATCATTAAATGGTTTATGGAGTTGAAGATGGTCTTTAAAGTATTCCACCCAGCTCTTATACCACCCATCACTGGGAGTCAGAACGTACAATATCTAGACAAGCAAAACAGTTGTTCTGACCATTTCTGGTAATGATGACACGTGATACTACTTATCAACTTATACTATTTTCAGGCCTGAAACTTTACACCTAATCTCCTTTTACTACCTTGACGTTTCTCTAGATAATCAGTGCCTAAAGACAAGTGAACCACTTGCATATTGCATGAACATAAGGTTATACAGAACATAAGTGACCCAGTAAATTCTCTGTTCTGTAACTAGAAGGACTAATCGATCATACCACCTAGACAATTTGTAGCAGGTTTTGTCAGTATTTATATCTATTCATGCACCAAACAAACAGGGTTGAGGAGGTTTCCAAGATAAACGATTCAGTTCATATGCTCATCTATTTCACTCCATCAGGTTAAATTTGACAATGACATTCAAATAAGCAATAATACTAACCGTTTCTTCGAAAGGGAGAGAAATAAGTCCTAAACATTCTTATATTGTCTTTAAAGGAATGCTACAGTCTTGACTAAACAAAACCATTTCATTTCCATGCTGTAAGTCAATTGTGGTGTTTCAGTTAACAAAATAGTTCTAGAAGAATTAGGTAAAGACAAATGTACTTAAGGAAATACATTTTAGTGGGGAATTGTAATAAAAATTGTGAAAGTACCAATACATGAATCTAGACTCTAAGACATAAGTTATCTGCTCATTTAAACCACGCTAATAGTCCTGTGGTAAACACAGTCAGTAGTTGTTCCGCATATTTGATAGGCTTTTCAATGATAATTCTTACCCTCGAAATTCCAACTGCCATCTTTAAACAACAGAGTTTTATCTTGAATTTATACACTTTATATCATTTTACCGTGAAGTTACATAATGTAGCTTACTGCTAGTGGGGAATTGTAATAAAAATTGTGAAAGTACCAATACATGAATCTAGACTCTAAGACATAAGTTATCTGCTCATTTAAACCACGCTAATAGTCCTGTGGTAAACACAGTCAGTAGTTGTTCCGCATATTTGATAGGCTTTTCAATGATAATTCTTACCCTCGAAATTCCAACTGCCATCTTTAAACAACAGAGTTTTATCTTGAATTTATACACTTTATATCATTTTACCGTGAAGTTACATAATGTAGCTTACTGCTAAAGACGAGCTATAAATGAGTGCAATTTTGTGGCAGTTCTACGTTTTTTTATAATGAATATTCATAATCATGAAGTAGATGGAGATCCAAGCGTGTAATATCCTCTTTAGATAGCAATCATTGATTTAACTGACTTTGCATGTCACTCATGAAATTTCATAATGAAATCTGAGGTAATTTAGGGAATAGGGGGAGGACAAAGAACACTAGAGAATTTTTAGAAGCCTGGCACTCAGGCCAATCAGCAATCAACAAACACATCGACATTGACCCCAATTTATCAATCAGTCAGGCAAATCATTGGTGGCCGGATCAAGAAACATATCAAAAAGGAGATACAATCAAAATAAAGGTGCAAACAACGACAGGTTTAAGGTCAACAACAACCAATCAAGATCGAGGTTGGCGGAACAAGCTACAGGTCAAACGTGTAGAAATTCGAATGCTTCACTTCAATCTGAAGTTTGTGCTAATGATGTCGTTCAGAAGAACAATGAAAGCTCCACAACAAAAACATCCTGCTCAGAGAACGAAATACCACCACAATATATTTCATCATTTACTGTCTTTAAAAGTTTTTGATTCATGAAAGACAATTTCTCTATAGATGAATTCGAAATGAATAAATTGAATATATAGTGTTTCTTGGGAAAAAAATAGTTTAAAACTTTCTTAACAATTCTATAGCACTAACTTTATTCAGTGTGTATTTGATTTTTTTTAATAATGACTTCGTGTAATGTTTGTTCATCAATATACTTGTCAACTACAGAGTTGGTTGGAGAAAACTGGTGAGCGGCCTATGCTCCATTGGGGGTAACGGGCGTAAGTCAGTAAGTAAGTAATACTTGTCAACTGATTTCTTACGCACGCAATAAAGTTTTCAAATTTACCTGTTCCAATGGCTAAATACCATAACTTATTTTCGCTTTGATATCTCTATTTAATTATTAGTCTAAAGATGTTTAACTATTTTAAGATTTAATTAAAGTTTAACACTGTGAAGCTGTGGGATTCAGGATAAGCGTTTTGTCTTTCTCAAAACATGCTAGATGAATTGGACCGTTTCAGATTAGATTCAATTCGTACACTATGAATTATACCCTTACAGAAATACAAGAACAGATTAAATGTTGAAAATATAGCCGAAAATATTAATGTTTTCAAAACTAACCTTGCTAACATGAAAGCAATCAAAGAAAATGCTATTGTAGCTGTTAATACAGACATGAATATAAGAGCCATAACTATTCCATTATCTAAATAAATAATTTAAGAAGTAATGAAAAGAAAATATTGAACTGATTAGATTATTTTTATTTAAAACTTATTCTGTTCTCATGTAAGTATTTTGCAACTTTAAAACCATGATATACAACTTTAATGATTAGCACAAACTAATAAATGAAAATTTCATTGTCAGACCATCATTCGAAACTTGGAAGCACTGTATGGCCGCTTCGTGCTAGTATGGCACTTATCAACAGTGCACATCCATGACCCTTGCCAGAGGGAATCGAAATTAGGACGTTCGGTCTCGCGTACAAACACCTAACCTCTGGACTGCTAAGCCGGCATCCGACACTGGTTATGTCTAGCTTTAATCAATCCAAAGTATTGCGCAAACTTACCCATTGTCTTCTGGTAAGTAACTGCCTACATCCGACAGGGTCAAACTCCAGATTTGCAACGACGGTTTAACAATGATCAATTGTTGACTATAATGAAACTCAACAACATCCACAACTGTATTGTGAAAATAACTTAGTTAAAATACTAGCAAATATTTAACATATCCTAATATCCATACTAAAGTACAGAGGATATGTGAATATTGTATTATTTTCACAATTGAAATTATTAACTGATTTAAGTAAATGATTATTAAAAACCTGAAATTAGTAGACAGGGTTTCGACAGTTCATGATTCCGACTGTGAGTTATTGTACTGTAATTTGAATTAAATTGAGGTGAATAAGTGTCACTCAACAAATTTCACACTCATTGACTCAGTATGAATAAGACTGAAGCAAACTTACGGATTACATCTGAGTTGAGTAGACAAATGACTTGATTTCAATGTGTCAAGACAACATAGTCTAATGTTTCAATTTTCTATCGTTTTCATCACGGACTTGAAAACCGAGAATTAATGGACCTAACACTGGACTCGTCAGTAGTGTGTATTCACGAATCCACCCAGGAACAGACCTTAAAAATTTAGACCTAGCTGTCAGTGCTTAACCGTTGAACAACCAAGCCTAACTTCGGTCAGTATTTATAGGAGCAGTCAATTCATGCATCTGATGTCTTTACTAAAGTTTTTATGTCAATAACTTCAACAAAATAAAAGCTGAAATTTTTTTGACCGGTTTTTTTTTTGATTTCCAGGTAATATCCAATGTAAATCAATCAACAAAAATACATTGAAAAAAAATCTAACACTTTCAACATATAAACTTACTTGGAATGCATTCTGTAGTGGTTGGAGTTTGTTGTAATAAAGATGTTAACTGCCAACTACTACTTCCTAATACCATACTAATAACAGTATAATCTGGCCAAATCATTGATGAATATATTTTTAAGCATATTGTATTATTAGCAACATGATTAATTGTATTATTCATACTACTGTTAGTATTATTATTATTATTACTAATATTCATTGAAACATTGGAAATATCAACATTACATGTGTATGCATTAATTAAATAAAAATCTAACGCAGCTTCACTTTGTTCTGGATGTTCATGAAATGTTATAGCTAAACTTAAATCAGATTTTATTGGAATTTTCAATGTTGCATTCTTCAACGATGCAAAAAAACCATCATTTCCTTGTAGTTGTGCTAGTTGCTGTTGTTTTTGTTCTTGCTGTTGTATTTTATGCTTGAAATTGCATATTGTCATGCCCAAAGTTAATTTCATAGCTAAATAATCTTTCTGTTCAAGGTATATGTGAAAAAAAAACCCAGAAAAAAATGAAGAGTAAGACTTGTAACATTCTACACATAATTAATAGTTATTCATACACTAAACTTCATCTGATCGGTTCAATCATTAGTGACGTTTGTTCAGTTTCATTCCTGATTGTGGTCAGTAAATGTTCCTAGTCTGCTCACACTGTATACGTCATCATAAAATATGTCTTTTATAATAAACTCGTTACATTTCTCTTGTCATAGTTGCAGTTAATGAGCCAAATAGTTTGATCGAGAAAATTCCATTTCTTTTCTAGGCATGTTCTTCGTCACAAACGTCAGCCTGAAGTAAACTATGAGAGGTTCCAAACAAGTGACTAAAGGCTTATTCTACTGATATATTATTGAATCAGTAGCTGTTAACAAGTGTTCTAGTTTTGTCTTTACGGTTGTTCTAATGGTTCCCTACATTGATCATATTCTTGTTTATGAATAAACCTCTGTGCTCAAGGAACACAAAAAACGTTCTCCTAAACTCAAATTCTTCCACACCAATTTATAGATTTGTTCTTAATCAGGTATTGATTTTTGAGTACCGCCGAAACTCATAAAATGTTAATCTAATTGATTTTTCTTGGTTTTAGTAAAATCCTATGTAAGTTATTATTCATAGTCAGTCAGTCAGTCAGATGCAACGTAGAATTTCGTATGGAAGTACATCATTTCATGTCGCCATACCACATTAGCACAGATATGTAATTGTCAATTCAAATCCAATAGTAGTAGAGGTAGTAAAGGTATTAGAAGTAATCGGAGAGGTTAGGATTAGAAGATATTATTCAAGAAGTATGATTCAGTGGGATAAGTTTAGAAAGTCAAAACTAGAGGGTTCGAAGAATCCAGAAGATAAGGATTTGAGAGAACACAAAGCATAAATGCACCTGCGCCATTGCAAACGGTTTTGAGTCATGTCATTCAGGGTCTCTAACCATCGATTATTATCATCTCGCGGACCCCAACCAGGTAGTCGACAACTATCAACAGGACTCAGTCCGCTAGTCAATGACTTCATGGATTTCTGACATGTTTTGGTTTGGCCTCCCTTAACTTCCTTCCAACCTACTCCTACACTACAAAACAAAGCTCTTCGAGGAAGTCGGTGGTTAGGCATACGCAGCACATGTCCTGTTCATAGTTCCTGGATGCGTCATAGAATTGTGCTCAGCGAATCGCTATAGAAATTACATTGCCGTTAATCAAACCCACTTACATTGTTTAAACATGAAAAACAGATTCAAATGTACATTTTAACATTTACCCTTAATAGATAAAGATCGATTAACTTAACTTACTGGTTTCTCCGACGCTTGATTTATTAAATGTGGTCAGTAGAAATAATTATATTAATTGACTTTAATTAGTGCTTAATTACTATTAGTGTACAATTAGTGTAAATTCGAACATTTAGAAAATCTATCAAGTACTATTTAGGTACTTGATATAAATACACAAGGAAACACATCATGAATTACAAACTAGAAACGTTAAAATAATAAAGACAATTTAATTTCAGCATCATAATAAACAACACTGTTTTGATTACCTGATTTAAATAATCATCGGTTAAGTGTAGTTTTGAACCATATGGATGAGATGTTAAAACAAATGCAGAATTTATAATTGTTGAATCTACACTAACAATATTCTGTGCATAATATCGCCATACTTTAAGTATATCATATGAGAATAAAGTCATATCATAAGCTATAAACATGATTGTTTTTAAAATAGTCTGATTCCATTGATAAATATTTTTTAATAGTGTAGAATAAAATGAAAGTTGGGCGATTACAATACAAGCTAAACAAAATTTAAAAAAAAAAGTAAAATTGATCATTGATCAACGGAACAACATTCAGTTGCATTTTATTTTAAAAACCTTATGCAATAAAATATGTTACGAAATATTTGCGCTTACGTCATATAATTCTACCTTAGCTATAACCGAATAGATGAATTTTTCATTTCCTAGGATATCAACATAAGCTTTATCAATGGCCATCTTCAAATATATTTACTCGAACGATCTGCAGGGATGATTCGTCGTTGTATTTAATATTTTCGTTAATAGTTACATAGTGAAGTCAAATATATGGGACCGAATAAAACAACTATTCTTAATCACTAATAAAATTAGAACTGCCTGACATTACTTGTGAATAAACCAGCAGCAACATGTAATTGAAACAAATTCGTTACAAGCATATTATGGGGAGAAATTGAATCGCACCTAATATGTTAAATAAACTGTAATTTGAAAATGGGCAATTAGTTTCAAATTAAGTTAATTCCGATAGCAAATGTTTGTTCAAAAATTGAAAAAAGTATAGGAATATGAAAACCTCCCAGAAACATTATTTTCTATCAGTCCTATGATGAAATTCACTGACTGGTCAATAAAAATACAAAATCGCATTGACATGCTAATGGTTTCCAATACAGTACATGACAGTGAGTTATCACGAAGGAGTAGTTCTAGAGAGACAACTCCCAGTACAAGTAGATAGAGATCATATTCAGAAAGACAGTAAGAGACTTGGAAAAAAACTGTCAATTTTATAGGACACAATGGCAGCAAAAGCAATCACTTGTGGTACTAATTATGCTTATCGTTTAGAAAAGGGATTGTATCACATTAGGCGAAACAGTCTGTTTATTTATCATCTGTGAATTAACTCATCAACCAGGTAATCAAGGCGTAAAGTTTAATAATCTTCAAATAGTAACCCAACCATATCCAAATTAGAGGTGGTAATAGATACGGGGAACACATTAGTTGACATTAAATTAATAGAGCAGTGAAGTGAATGAAGTATTTCCAAGTGATGAAATTGCCTAATTTAGCAAATACATAAATAATAAAACTGGCCTCTATAAAAATATTACTTTGAAGAATATTTTTAACTTGATAATAGAAAATATTCGTAACAGTATCATCCATTATAGTTACATAAATCAGAAAGAGACCCCTTTTAGTTAGAGTTATCAAGATGATGCTGATATGTAACACTAAGATGGCCATAATACTAACTATCAACATTCTGATAACCAAGTCAGATAATATTTGTCGACATTCTTTTCAACATTAATTGTAGGGTTGTGACGATAATTGACTTCTATTGAAATCAAGAATCGATCAATGTTAGAACACTATTAGAATCTTGGGAACACTGAACTTCCACTTCGTCCTAGTTTGGTACTCATCATCAGGACAAATACACGACCACTGCATGCACGGATCGTGTAAGGAAACTTTGGGAGTTCTAGTGAGAGATCGTTACCAGTGGAGTCCAGCCGTGTCGGGTATGAAGAAGTTCCTCACTGACGACAATGGATGAGGTCACATAATATCATGAACTTGATATCTTAGTTTTTCATCATACACTACCTGCAGAAAATATCACAAAATGATACTAACTAACTGTAGTTATCGTTTGATGTTAGTTGGAAAATATTATTTTCTTTGATTTAATCAGTCTCAGCTTAATTTATACTTCATATAACTTTATTTTTGTATTCATAGTAAAGTGATGTAAACCAAAAAAAGAATGTAGATGAGTTATAAATATCCTCAGAAAACTTCATTTACTCAGAATATTAGATTAGATAATTTGTTGCAATTGATAATTGATATTTATAATGAACAGTAATGACTTAAATGAAATTTTTTCTCAAATTAGTCTTTTGAAGTTAGAAAGATAAACGCTTTAATCAGTGATGAATAGAACGTCGTCAAAAATGTTACTTTTTCAGGATATCCTAAATTAAAAGTATGTAATGAAGTAATCTGACTTTTTCTGCACTGATCTGCTTTATCCGCAATGCTCCCTTCTGTAAAGATATTGGTGTACTTATTCAAAACTACGAAGTAGACAATTTCTTTATCAACGATAAAAATAGTTTTCTTAACTGCGTAAAATAAATCGAAACAGTGTTGTAGAAAGCGTTTTATTGTTTGTATTAAGGTGTTGATTCAAATCGGTTTAAAAGTTAGTTTTTTGCACAGAATCATGAACTACAGGATTTCGTTATTGGAGGACATGGTAAAAGTAATACTTGTTGGAAAATTCGATTTCACTCAAGAACTCAACAGTATTATTAATCTAACAGACTTAGAAAGTTCGACTAGTTTTTCAATCTCTTTTTCTGCAATTAGAATACTCCAACTGAAAGAATCGATAAAATCCAAAGCTTCCTACTTAATCATAACTTAAAAATACTCGAACATGGGACATATAAGAGAGTGGAAGAGTAGAGATTGATATCTTTCAGTTTACGGTGTTACATAACGTAATTAGTTATATACATCTTGATTAATCACGCCTACTGCATAAAGGAAAATAATGCAATCAGTGGATCCAAATTATAGTTTGCTGAGTATGAATAGATCACCTACGCACAGCATTGCAACCTACATATATCTCCAAATATATCAATAAATAACAGCGGTAGTTGAAGCATGTTCAGAATCAACATGAGTTAATGATATTCCACACTAAAATAATTAATGGTCTAGAACAGTTAATGTTCTCGTCAGTCGAGGATCGTTTGTGCCTATCTAAAAGTTTAACCAGATAAACTAAAGCTTTCGCCATCTGTTGTATCTTGATGATTGATTCAGTTTTGAATTCGCTTAACAGCAACCTGAATAATCGCTTATGACTAAAATCTCAGTGAATTTAAGGTATCATGTGCATTATGCAACTTGAATGTTTCACATTCAAATCCATATGAAATGATATCTCAACAAGTGACAAAAGACTTAGGCAAGAATAATGCCTTCCGTGTATTTCACTTGTTCTTTATTTCTAACAAGCAGTAATGACAACTAATTTCAAGTAAAACTATCCCTTGTTGAGCTAATCTTCACTTGAAATTTACATAAATTTAATCATATTGATGCAGTGCATACCAGAAATGTCTACATTCTTTATTTGTAAAATGCTTGAAATATTCTTTCCTACATTCCACTGATGAATTCCTTTCACAGAAATACCAGAATCACCACCTTTAATTAACAAATGAGCTAAAGCAGTTGCAAAAATTCCTGAAGGATCATTCACACTATTATCATCTTCATATATAATTATGATATTCAATCTGTTCAAATATTTCAATATTTCAATCAAAGCCATTGATACTTGATATTTATTAGCCCCAACAGAAAAACTACCAATATCTGTAAACTCTTGATAATTTCGACTTGTATTATAACAATATGATGAAGTAGCTGGTAATATCTGTGATTGATAGGCTATTCGTCTTGGTGGACATTGAAAACTTGTATGATATACAAATGTTGTACGCGGTTTCATACAATCAAGATACGGAATCATAACAATTTGATTCATTTGATCGCATAAACTTGCACTAAATGGACCTATAATTACATTGTAATAAATTTTGTTTGAATCGATAATATTAGCAAATTGTTGAGCTTTTGTATGTACTGTCAACATATTCATAAATGTGTCATTTGTTAATTTACAACTTGACAATCGAGTTACATATTGTTCAATATTGTCATTATTATTAAAAGCCGAATTGGTTGTTGTTTGTATGCTTAGATTCATTGTATCTTGAATACTGGCGGTAAAATCAAATAATCCACCATGTGGTGAGAAACAATCATCAAATGGTATTAAAATAAAAAGTCTTAAATAAGTGGATTGACTCTGATTTTGTACTTGTGATATAGAAAATAATGAAGTACATATATAAAATACATAAATGATATATTTCATAATTTGTAAATGTAATTTTTCTGTTTATTTCTTTGAAAGTAATAATAATGAATACAAAATGTTCGATAATGATGTAAGGGAGAATTGTAATGACAAGTTGACTATCATGAATAAGTTTGTAATATACAAGTTTATGTAAGTGATTATTATTATTTTTCTTATTCTTCTTATTGTTATTATTATTGTGATCATTTTATGCTCTCAGTAGATATGTTCACTTTTTCGTTTAGAGAAAAAGTAACCATCATTTATTTGTAGAAAGAAAGAAAACTGTTTTATCTTTAATAATGACTTTCACAAATCGAGTTGGGCTCCAGACGATTCCATGAGCGTGCTTTGTCGCAATTGTTATTGATGTAAACAAATGAGTTGATTGTGAAACTGTCTAATTAGACGAGTAAGGTTTGCCTGTGTAACTGTATTATACTGCCAACTGTTTGATTAGAGAATGAGTTATGAAATATCGTTTTTCTGTCTAACTTATGAATATATATACATATATATATATACGTTTATATAATTCAATTTTCTGTAAAATCGAAAAGTAAATCCAAAATAAGGTAACGCCTCATTATTGCGAATCAGTTTCAGCTGTATTTAATTGGTTCTTCGATATTTCAATTATTATTTTGTCCATATGTTTATGAAATACTCATGATTGTATGAAATTTATGAAAAATTAAATAGTTAAAAAAAATATGTCTATTTGATTAATTATCCTTAAATTTGTACATGATAGACGTGTATGCATTGAAATATTGGCAAATACTTCTACTTAGATAATGAATGTATTCTTCACAACATTGATAGGAGTCCTACACAATTCAACTGGAGTTTTCCATCGAGAACAATAGTCTAATGATAATGGTACTATAAATGTTCACATGTTGAATTCCATAGTTTATGTCACGCACTTGTTTATCTAATTTAAGAGCATAGGATAGTCATTTCTTGTTACTATTTAACTCCTCAGAAATGAGCACCCATCGATCGAACCCATAATCTTTAGATCCCATGATACCTGAGTCAAATCATTGCTCAGCTACGAGCAGTCAACTGGGAAGTCTATCGAGAGATGGACAAAATAATTTCGTAATCTAACTGAATGAAGTGCATGCTATTGTAAACAAACGTTAAATAGGTTTCTGAAGTTGATTATTGACGATACCTATTGTTATCAATAATCGAATGTAATTTTTTGAATGTTGTCTTGTATTTGTTCATTCATCCTCGTATTACTGTGTGGGCAATTTTTAGATATCCTTTGATAAATAGATTAATTGAGATAATAAAAAGTGTAGTTTATGAAGTTCCGACGACATCGATTTTATTTACGGTGAAAATATTCAAATTTGTGTCAGTATACAGGTTTCATCACTGTTACCCATTTTTCAAATTACCACTGGAAGTTCTCTGAAACCAGAACATTCGGGAGGCTTTTGAATATTATCCAGAAATTACATCAAACTTGAAGTTTTCATATTCTTCACTGAAGCGTTTGATCCATTTAGAAATGAATGTCCAGATGAACACATTTTTTTCCTCAAAAGACTATTATTACTATCTCATTTTTTCCCATATATAATTAAAAAATTGAAGGTGAGCTTCTTCTGTTCAATCTATTCTCCATTGTCAATATGAACAAAAAGTATCACATCAAAATGAAGTTCTTACACATTTGGAATCGAAGTTCGCTTTTTCAATTAGGACGCCATTAGAAACCTGGATGCACTGGATGACCGTTTAGTCCTGGTATGTTACTCATCAGCAGTGAGCATTCATGGTGGTCTAACAGTGATTGATTGATGATTTAACTGTGTTAAAACACTGCTCTCTATAACTTTAATTGAAAAAATCGTAAAATGTGCTGACTAGTGACTAGCCTCGTGAGGAAATTCTCGGAGTCCTAGTGAGAAGATGCGATCAGTGAATTTCAGTTCTGTCTGGTGTGGGCAGTAACTACCGAAAACAATAAAAAGTGCGGTTGAACAAAATCCAAAGATTGATCAGAATCAGTTATAAACACCATTCTATGCCGGCCCAGTGGTCCAGTGGATAGGCGTTCGAGTGCAAGACCGAAAGTTCTGGGTTCGAATCCTGTGAGTAGAAGGATATGTGCATGCGCATTGCTTATGAGTAATAAAATGATAATTTGATTTTAATTTCAGTCAAATTTTTAGGTGTTAAGTTTAAAAACCTGGTAGAATTTCGGTTGAATACCACAAAAGTGACTAACACAAGTTTTCCAGCAATTTCTAGATTTCATTGTTACTCCAAATGATGACGAAAAACAATTGCGATTTTTCGCGACTCAATTTTACCTATTCTGTATATGTGAATATTTATTTACCTTGTATTATTATTGCTTTTACTACTTTCAACGCGACAATTTTACTCTTATTTATTTAAACAATTTATCTATTATTTTCATCGAAAATCATTTACAGATTTAATTTTTTAAATTGATATATATAAATGCAAAAATAGCACAGTCACAGAATCTAACATACATATTTTCTGAATGTACTGTAATAGAACAGAGAAATTTAGAAACTGAAGTAGATTTCGCATCAAAACGAATACCATAATAATTTTAATTGTAAGAACATACACATTATTAAAAAAGTCAAAAGACAGCCTATTTTAAAGAGAATACTTTCTCTCTAAGGATCGACTTTACAGGTAAGTATTTCTAGTGATGTTTTAACACTCCATCCAAACCAATAGACTGATTAAAACAACATTTATTTTCGTTAAATGTAAGTCCTTTATTCAACTTCATCATCTCATTGATGAAACCTGTCGACTAAAAAATAATGATGATCAGTTTCTATTTAATCACACTTGTAACGTTTATCACAACCTCAGATGGGATGGACTGGGTGTGGCTGGGGGACATTTATTCTGCTTAGGTGGTTGCTGTACTAACTTCATTTCAGATCGACTAGAACCGCTACTTCTAACTATAGTCATGTCTCGTTGTAGATTAATGAGTCGTTGGTGTTTATTGGCCACATCACTAAGGGTGCGTTTAGGATCTTGCTTCAATCGACACAGTAGCCGTGTTCTTATGTCACTGAACTTTTAGAAGTGGAGGCTGCAAATGAGGATGAGGGCTTTAAACTGGTCTTCAGTCAAAGACTTCAACTGGCACCGTTCCCATTCACGGTTGACGATGCCCACATGAGTGAGAAAATCATCGTCTTCGTTCATAACTAGCTTCAAAAATCGATAACGAGTATTAAATAATGACGAGTTGTCGCAGAAATGTTGGCTTAATGTCTTGACTGTTTCTGAGAATGAGCAACCTCGTAGGTTCGAAGGCAGCAGGATCAAATTACAGTACATGTCCACCTCACTTATACCCAACTTTCGAAGTAGCAGCCGAACCTTACAAGCATCATCTTGATTGGCAAAACACAAATAAAAATAGATCTTCATAATGTCAAAAGTAACATTGGCATCAGAATATTAATGAAACTCAGAAATCCTATTTGTGATACCGTCGACTGATGGTGTTGTGGTTGCATTAGATGAGCTAGGTTGTGTGGAAGGCGAAATATTGATACCTATCAACATCTGCATTAATTTAACCTGCTTCCCAAGTAATAATTCAAGTTCAGAAGGATCCATGTTTTCAAAAACCACCGTCACCAAATGATATATTCTTGAAACTATTACGAGTTCACCTTACTCGGTAAACGAGAGCGAAGACAAATGATACAGTGACACGATAGGTTTTTCTGATTCGATTTTCGCCGGCCCTGCTAACTATAGTTAGAAATATAGATGAGGTGTAGGAAGTATATTTTACAAGCACGCAGAAAAATCTGAGGTTGTCTGAAAATGTTGAAATTACTAAAACTAAAAGTACATTCGAACTATTTTTTACGTCAGTTGAGTAAGTATTAGTAATAAATATCACAAATAGAGTAAAGTGACTGAAAGAGTAAATTAGCTAGTAATGTTCAACTAAAGGTTACATAACATATAAAATGATATGAATAAGATAGAGGGTAATGAAGGTGTGCTTCGCATTAAATAAAATACAGACATCTTTGATAAAGAAGACACTTATATTCTAGACTTATGAGATAATTATAACCATTATTCGAAACCTGCAAGCACTGAACAGCTGTTTCTTCCTGGTATGGGACTCATTAGGAGTGCGCATCCATAACTCCTGCACCTCGCAGGGCTCGAACTCAGGACTTTCGGGCTTGCACGCGAACGATTATCCTTTAGACCACTGAACCGGCTTCCAATGGTGTTAATATCGAACCCTGAGCAATTTATGGCTTTTGCGAAACCCTACCCATTGTCCTCGGTAATTACTGCTTACACCCGTCAGGGTTGAGTTCCAGTGACCACGTCTTGTCACTAGAACTCTGATAATGATTGATTCATGATTTCAGTAATAAACACCAGTCTCTGCAACTCTACAATAAGAAATAATTCTTAATGATGATATCAATGACCATTCAATCTAGTATATTTAAAATAATCTTGATAACTTATCGATCTCTTCTCTGTCAAGTCCCTCTTGTAGTAGTATCGCATGCACTATACTGAAATGTGAAGTAGCGGTTAGAAGTAGTCAACAGAAGACACTAAACATATGCCACATGCTATTCGGCACTAGTCAATAAGGCGCACTTATAATCTTGAAGGAACTGATGCTCTCTAGCTTATTCGATCCCACACTACCCAGTTTCATAATCAGCGATGTTACTACTCAATTAACTCCAACGGATTCATCGTTTCATCAGTGTCACTTAAAATTTTGATCCATTTTTTATACGTGTGTTAATGACATTCTTGATTTTAATGGTAGATTACTTGTTTTTAAAATAAATAAAACTTTACAGGTTCAGTGAAGTCTTGATTTCGTTGACTATAATAAACTTATTGTTTAAAAGATTTTAATGATTATAATGACACCTGGTAAATGACCTTGGTTCCATGCAGTCTCCATGATCAGAACCAATGTCACAGAGTAGATTTGTCAATCATCCAAACACAAACCACAACATATTGAGGGTCTACTATGACAACTTTCAGTTAAACTTACAGAAACAAGCACAATACATAAGTATAAAGGAAGTTTCAGTCAGATATTAATTGAAGCAAAAGCTAAATTGCTCAAAGAAGATATCTGCATTGTTTGTTAATATTATGACCGTAACATAATGTTTGAAAATCCTTGGCATGATATGGTGTTCGAATAAAATTCTCTTGTTTTATAGTGATGTTGACTTGCAGTAAAATTTTCTGACTTATTAAATATTTTGTGCTTAGCGATTGCTAGCTTTCCTGCTCAATTTTTACCTTTTTGGTCAACAAAGTTTTATGGAATCTAAATAACTTTCGTTTGGTAAAGTTAAAATTTTTATATAGTAAAGAATGTATGTGCTGAGATGAAAACTTTGTCATCGTTGTGAGTGTATGTCAGTCAGTCAATCAGTCAATCACAACGAACACCAGCTGCAGAAGTGATAAGATCTGACGAGCACAAAACAGTAGTTTTTATTTCACGGTTAGGACTATTGAAAAGTATGTATAAATACATACACAACCACATACAAAGTAAAAACCAGAATTATCACATTTGACAGTGTAAAAACTATCCATAAGTTAGAATATACTGATATATACCTAAAACCACAAAAAAATTTACCGATTAAGTTCATTTTTAATACGGTACAATTTTTGTAAGTTATTGCGCCCATCCCAACATAGTGGATCTCACAGGTTATTGCATTAGATTGCCTAAATATTCCGTAGGTAAATTCTCAAAGTTATTGTATGAAAATGAATCTCTGTATTTTTATCCTATGTCATGCATTTATTTATAAAACGAAATTAATGAATACATTCTTTTTTTCCCATTTCAATTACATGTATTTTCTGTTAACACATATTTCACACAGAAATAACTGTGTACTACTGAAGTAATTTCAGTAAACAAAGTTATTAAAGAAAATCCTAATCATTATACATCCTTTGATTAAAATAAGCATTCGACGTTTTCAGGTATTTTTTTTGGTGATTAAACCCACTTATCTATTCATGATATTAATGACACATACCTTTTTTTTCTAGATAACTTTTCGCTATACTGAACAATGTATGTTGTATTACATAAGGCAGGCATTACATACATACATACAAACATATATATTGTATTTATTTTATTCAAGTACAAATTTCAAGAAAGAAAGTGTTGAAATATTTTCTCAAAAAAAATCAAAAAAAAATAGCCAGGACAAAAAACAAAATTTTCATTGAAAGGCATCATAGATCAGAAGAACAAACCCGTCCCCCGCCTCCCGCCCCCAATCAAAGTGTTATTGACAATTAAAAGAAACAGGAAAATTATTGACTGGAATAGAAAGAGATTAATTAAACAGTGATGTTGATGACGTTCAAGGTTTCAATCATGATGAATGATTATTACAGCGGATAGTATTAAAAATTCCAATTCATAAAAAAAACATTAAAACATTTCTTTTTCTATATATATATATATATATATATATATATATATATATATATATATATATATATATATATATATATATATATATATATATATATATATATAAAAGAAATCAAAGACAAAATCGTAGAGTTCTCTTACTCTTGTTTAAATAAACAAGGCATAATAGATTTTTTTTCTCCTTGAAAAAACAACACAATGACACAAACACAGTGTAGTTTCTTTGAAATATTTTCAAAAATATAAACAGAATAAAATCATTGATAATTTTCAATGGGAATGCATGTATTCCATTAGGCATTTTTTAGAAAAAACCATGCATATAACACAAGACATTTTGAGTAAATTTTGAGGGGACACAGAATACTCCATTGCTTAAGTCAGTAAAATGAAGAAATCTTATTTAACTTGTTTTTGTGATACATACATATATTTATAGATATATTATATGCTCCCATGAGTTGAATATTGAACATAAGAAGATACAAGCATTAACAGAATATACAATACATCGTTCATGTACAACACCATAATTATATAAACAATTATAAATTATTACCTGCGCGTGAACATTTAAAAAAACAAACAAGACTGATGTAAATAGTTAAGAGAAAAAAAATAAAAGTTATCAAATAAAAAAAAAGAAACAAAGATGAAACAGAAATACAAAATTACAACTGATTTCAAACACGCACACGCACACACACATACACAAAAACAAATAAATATTTTCATCAGTAGTAAGTAGTTTTACTGTTTAGACATTGAAAATAAAATAATTTGATGTCATAGTCATTGAAACAATGTAATGTTGCATAAAATTGATAAATACAAGGGGGATAACAGATTTACTGTAGATACATATATAAATATATACGGTAGAATTAATTGCAAAGGTAGTATAAAACTATATGATAGAAAAACTAATTTCAGATGAAGTACAGAATTAAGTGTTTTGATACAATTCTTTACTGTTTGTTCATGAAAAAATATTGTTGAATAAAAAAACAAACAAACAAACATTTAATTGTGTTATCGTTTGATTACTTATTTATTATAACAGTAGTATACAAACGTATCCTAAACATGAGTTATTATTGTTTTACAAACAAAATATGATATTCATAATATTTTAAGGCTGAAAAGTTAATGTACATGAAAAGGGAAAACAGATGTACATTAATGTTTGTTTATTTAAAATAAACTTAAAGCACAATTACATCAGTAGACTTGAAAAAATAAACTTCAAATTCTTTTAAAAGCTAATTCACAATAAACTATCTGTGATCTCTGCTAGGTTTATATAGTATATTTATATAGTACATGAATGGATGTAATTATACAGATTTTGAGCAAAAATAACCAATTTAAATGGAAGATATGACCCAAAGGGGGTTAGCTGTATAACCTCCAATGAGATATTCATGCAGGTTACAATTCAAAGTTAAGAAAATATCGATATTAATCATAAAATTAAAATTATGACAATTTTTCATTATTTATTTGACAATAATTGAAAATATGTTTATTGTTTCGGAAAAGCTTTTCGTTGATTAGTTTTTTTTTTCAATTATAAATAACATATGAACGCTTGAAAAAATCCTGATTATTCAACTGTTGAATCAACACACAATCACCAAAAGTAAATGATAATGACAACACAAATGAAATCATCGATTCTTAGAAGTTGACCATCATGGGATAAGTATACTGATTGAATGTGATTTTCAACAACATTTGTAATCAAGTTTTACTTGGTATATTATGTTTATCACTATTACTATTATCATCATCATTGTTATGATGATTGCCACTGTGTTGTTTATCATTATCTGATTTGTGATTATCAATATTAGTTTTCTTCTCTTCGTTAGTTTGCATATCTGTATAGTAAGCTAATTGTTCCAAGGCTGGTTGAACAATCACTGGCTAGTAAAATAGAAGAAAAAGGTAAATAAAAGTTTTGATGGAATCTAAATAACTTTCGTTTGATAAAGTTAAAATTTTTATATAGTAAAAGAATGCATACGTTGAGATTAAAAATTTGTTATGATTGTGAGTGTATATCAGTCAGTTAGTCAGTCAATTACAACGTAGAACTTTGTACGCACGTAAGTCAGTTCAAGTCGCCATGCTACATTAGCAGAGAGATCGAACTGTCAATTAAAATCCCTTACTAGTAAAGGTAGTAGAATTATTAGCGATAATGTAAAAGATTATGGTTCACAAAAATTATTCAAGAAGTATAATCCAGTGAAGTAATATTAAAAGGAGGTAAGAAAAGGTACAGAGCTCATGAGGTTATGAGAGAAGACAATGAATGGATGTACCTGCGACAGTGTAAACGATTTTGAGTCATATCATTCAAAATCTCCAACCATCGGTTACTAATGTTTCACAGAGTGTCTAAAACTAGATATTATCGACAGTAGTTGAGGACTACACAATGTTTTTAGGTGAGCGTTAGGTATTTAGGATTAGGAGTAAAGGTTTAAGGTGAACTAACATGAACTAACACCAGCCACAATGAAGAAGTGTTTTGTAGAAATAGAAATGGATGGCTTCTGTTTTACGGTGTATCGTTTGCCAATTATAATCTATGATGTTACTACTCATATTTAGGTTTATATCATAAGATGTTAGATATTTATATTTATTGGATAGTTTCTGTTGTTGCTCCTGTTTCACTACAATCTAATACTTACCGTGATTCCTTTTTCGTTTTAAGTGGTTGAGAGGTTGAGGTGGTTGGGACAAGTGTTACGGATGCCTAACCACCGACTGCCTCGACGAGCTTTGATTTGTGGTGTATGAGTTAGTTGGAAGAAAGCTAAGGGCGGCTAGACCAAAACATGGTACAAATCAACGAAATCACTGTCAAGTGGACTGAGTCACGTTGGTAGATGTAGGCTACCTGGTTGGGGTCCGCGAGACGAAAGTCACCAATGGTAAGATACCTTGAACGACATGGCTCAAAATCGTTTGCAATGGCGCAAGTGCATCCATTCGTTGTGCTCTCTCAAATCCTAATCTTCTGGATTCATCAACACCTCTACCTTTGTCTTTCTAACCTTATCTCACTGAATTTTACTTCTTGAATAATATCTTCGAACCCTAGTCTTCTTCATTACCATTAATACCTCTACTATCTCTATCACTATGGGATTTGATTTGACATTTGCTTCTCTGTGCTAATGTGGTATGGCAACCTGAACTTATGTACATACGTACGAAGTTCTACGTTGCAACTGACTAACTGACTGGCTTTAATTAATATTCAGTTACTTAATTAGGGGTCTTTGCATAATATTATTATTTATTCAATGGAATTAACGAACTAGGAATTTGTGAGTTTTGGTAAGGTAATATAAAAAAAAGGCAAAGAACGTCAATACATGATGTTGTAAACAATAGGTGAATAGGTGATTAGGTTGCATCCACTGAATAAAAACTTTGAATTACTGTCTAGTGTATTATTAAGATTTACAACGAAATTTATGACACCAAATCTATGTGTTCATGAAAAATATGGAATGTCGGCTAGAGCAGTTGCATGCTCTTCTTTGGGTGAAATTTTCTATTCAATAGGGATTCATGGTTGAAGGGTCTCGTTGACAAAACTTGATATTTTTTAGCAATTGCATATATAAATCCATAATTCGTTATCGATCAGTTTTATTAAGATCTTCCTATTCTTATCTTATCTATTTAAGATGCTTTCAAAAATATTCATTCTAAGATCATAATGCTTTCGTTTTTCTGAATCGTTAGACAAAATTTCACTCGTTGTGACTTTGCATTTACGGATTCAGAAAAATGATTGTAACTAATATTTGAAAGTCCCAGATTAATGTCTGTCAATAACTTACTATAGGTGTTGATATAAGCCATATAAATATATTTAAAGTTAACTGAGAACTGACAGAATGGCCTTGCTAAAATGATTAGTACAAAAGTTCTAAAGATTATTGAATGTTTTCAATTACATGAACTGACCGAACTTAGATATCTTTTAAAACCACGAAGTAACGATTAGCTGTTTCTTTTAGTATGATGCTTCTAATCAATCCTCATCGTCAATTCCAGAGAAGATCGAGCTCTCAAAATTCGGTATCATGAGAGAACACTTAACCTCGGAATTAGTAAGCCATGCATTATCTTCGGTGGGTAACTGCCTATAACCGCTTTGCTGATAATGATCATGGACTCACTGTCTAAATACCGGACATGGTGTCGTTTAAAATAATTATTCAATGCAGGTAATGGAAGACGGTCTCACAGTCTCGCTAATTGACTGGCTTTAGCCTTAAACAACACTGGATGCCCACTCCATGGTTAGCAGCGTTTGTCGCAAGACTAAAAATCCTGGTTTCGTTCCTCAGTGGTGGTATCATTAGTATGCATTACTGAGGAGTCTCGATTTTTCGGGATATCAGTTTATCTAAAAAACTAATCCATTTATTTTTCATCATTATTCTGTAATACAGTAATGGTCATGAGTTTTTGATCAACTTTGAGCTTTAACTCTTAATTATAAAAACTTCGAACTCATTGTAAGAGAATTACATTCATAAACAATGGAACATTCATTGAAGGTGTAGTGCCTCCACATATATTCGAGTTTGCTTACATTTAATTTGGTTAAGCCCTTTCGATTAATTTATTTAACCAAGCCATTTGTATTGCAACAATTTATATGTACCATTCGTTCTTATATTATTGTCTGGTTTGTATGAACTCACATGACGTGTCCCACTTGTCATTTGATCTTGTCAACTATTCGTCGCTTTATTCATGTGTGTACATGACTATTTCGCTTGTCGCATGTCTGTCTTATATTTATCTGACTATATATTCTTAGTCACGCTCTATCTCAAGGAGTTGGGTCACTAGCCTTCTCCACATCGCTTCCTTCGCCCATTCGTTCGCATTGTAATCCTGGGAGTTGGCTCGACAGCCTTCTCCAATTCACGTCGTTTCGTTCGCTTTATTCTCTGCTTTTCAACTTCACTTTGTGGTATGGCCAAAAATAAACGTGTTCATCACTACGAGTTCACCTTCTGATTTATAAACCGTCAGAGGCTAGTTAGTAACGATTGTCTGGACGAACTAATTACCGAGCTTAAGAACACGCAGTAAATCGGCACACTACAAAGGAATGTTAGTATGTTAATTGTCATCTATAGTAGTAAACTAAAGACTGTACAAAACTTACTTTAACTTCAGGCAATAATTTTGCTAAAGATTCAAATAACGGTAAAATAACAAAACGAATAAATCCACATTGACTGGCTGATTTGGTCACTTTATGTCGATCCATAAATGGAGCAACTGGAAGACCAACAAGTTTTTCATAATCACTCTGTAAAATATAAATTTTCCGGAAAAAAATATCAGTACAGAAACAATCAGAATATTATTCATTGAATAACGTTTAGTTCAGATTGTTTAAAAGTGAGACTGAATAAAGGAGAATAGGAAATTCAACAGAGGTATGTATTGGGGACGAATTTTTTTTCATAACGGTGTACAATCGCTTCAATGTTCAAATGCCATCTTTGTACGTATTCGGGAAAAAAAACTGCACAACCGAATTTGTGTATGCATGGGAGTGATTATAGGCAAGTATTTCCTAGACAGATTTCTGAGACTGGTCACATCGAACTTTTGATTCCTTACTCTCTACTTATGTTTCGTTTTCTTTTCGTTGTATGTGGAATTATAAAACATCGCACTTAAACTAAAATTTTAAAATCTCACGATGCTGATCCTATGCATCCGTAATGCAAAAATTTCAGCCATTTTTAACGACAACACACAATAGTCACTTGAGTCAAAACATCTATTACATTCTTTGATCCATAGCACCGATATAAGTGGAATCCATTGTCACTATTACTGCTACGTTATTACTTTCGAATTTTTTTTCAAGAAACTAGATAAACATTAAATTACTATTGAAATCATTTGTATTCTAAACAATAGTGGCTAAGAAATGATGTAATTTGACAGATTATAAGTTGTAATTATCAAACTATTTTTCTTAAAGATAAGATTGGCTTGCGACTTCACCGTAACTAGTGATAGGAAGTGAAGTAGTCGATCGTGTAGACCGCTTCACTAATCTGGGTATTCTCATCAGCATGGATACAGAAGGCTCGATTGGCTTTTGCTAACATGAGTCACCTATGGAGAAGGCGAGATGTCCGTTAGCTAACCGAACGACGAGTGTACCGTGCAGCAGTTTGCTCCGTCCTACTATACGGATGCGAAACATGGCCGTTAAGGGTAGAGGACATTCGTAGGCCACTATTATTCGATCATAGGTGTCTCCGAAGCACTGCTCGTGTATCCTGGGACGACTGTGTAAGCAATGCGATAGTTAGTAAACGAGTTCTAGGTAAGGATGGCAGGTCGATAGATGAAGTAGTGAAACTTCATCAGTTGAGATGTTTGGGACATGTGTTACGAATGCCTAACCACCGACCACCTCGTCGAGCTATGTTTTGTGATGTAGGAATAGGTTTTGACGAAAGTTAGGGGTGGCCAGACCAAAGAATGGCACAATTCCATGAAGTCAGTAACAAGTGGAATGAGTCGTGTTGGTAGATGTAGGCTACCTGGTTGGGGTCCGCGAGACGTAAGTCACCAATCGTTAGAGCCCTTGAACGACATGGCTCAGAATTGTTCGCAATTGCGCAGGTGCATCCACTCTTTGTGTTCTCTCTAATTCTAACCTTCTCAATTCCTCATAATCCCTACCTTTCTCCTTCTAAATTTATCTCACTGAATTATACTTCTCGATTCATATCTTCGCTCCCTAATATTCTCCATTGCTACTAATACTTCTACTATCGCTATCACTTTTGGATTTGAACTGACAGTTGCGTCTCTGTGGTGATGTGGTATGGTCACCTGAGCTGATGTACTTACGTACGAAGTTCTGTGTTGTTTCTGTCTGTCTGTACCGATCAATGGCAAACAATTAAAAGCATTTTCTATAACCAATAGAAGACCATACATTTATGCCAATATATGCAAATGTTTATAAGAAATAAACTTATTGATCTATGCATTGCATTTATAAAATCTTCTAGCTGCAAAAAGTAAATATTATTTGTTATGCTCGTCGACTGATATGCTTGAACTATTACGAGTTCAACTTAGTCGGTAAACGAGAGCTAAGACAAGTCATTCAATGACACGATAGGCTACTCTAATCCGAGCGTCTTAGGACTTTTATCAAGTGAGTTCTGGCGATCTAACGTCCCCAACATTATTATTCTTTACAAGTGTTGCGTAAATTATGATCATGTTGATATTTTCTATTAAGTTCATAAATTCAAAGATTAATGTGACAGTTTTCTTACAATTTTAGTATATCAACAAATAAACTTGTCAAATTAAGCTATCGAATGATAATGATAGTGAGGTTATGGGCTATATGACTTTAAAATCCATTGAAAATAAAAGTTATCTTAAAAATGTAGATATACATTGTTATTGCTTATTCACATGTACAAAATTTAGGTCTCAGGTTTTCAATGACCTGAAAATAGACAGACTGAAATCCGCTGTTTTGCTCACATCAAAATAGAGGATGAAACACAATATGACAGATTCTAGAGTTACCATTAAATGATCAATAAGTATATGAATCTATTAGACAATTTGAACATGTTAAATTTATTTCTAGTTTAAAAAAAATTGTTAGAAAATCTTTTAATGATCATAATATGAGCACATGATGCGCAAATGTCAAAAAACCAACAATTAATTCATCATTATCTGTATCGATTTATAACATTCTGCTCTAAGAGAACCAGGTAAAATGACAGCGCAAAACTATAAAATAATCTGATTGTTTTTATTTTTTTAGAAAAAATAGAATATAAATAACTAACAATTAATTGCAAGTACTTGGAAAAAATTCATCAAAATAAATGAAACCATAGAAATTTTTTACAAAATAATAAAAATCAATTATAAGAGAGAATGAAAGAGTATATGATGTTGCAGGTTCATTCTGTCAGCAGTATGTTTCACTTGAGAACACGATGAAAACATTCAGCTCAGAGAAAGAAACTCCACTTTAACACTACACCTGAGCTACAAATTTTCGCCATCATCTCAAAAAACAACATGTTAAGAAAGTGTAATTAATTCGCAATACCTATTCGATAGTGTATATTACACTATTTAAACATTGACTGAACTAATGTCATATACAAGAATAATGAAGTTGTCTTTCAGCCATCGACTGATCAAACGATACGAACGTGGCTTCACCTATTTAAGTGTATACTCTTGGATAGTATCAACCGAAAACGCATCAAAAGTATAACATGAAAATGAATACATAAATTTATACTTAATATAATGAGTCAATCTAGTTTCGAACTAACTAAATTCAAAGATAACTAATGGAAAAAGTAATAATAATAATAATAATAATAATAATAATAATAATGATAAAGTGACGTTAATTTTCTTTTATTTTAATATATGACAAGTGGATGAAGCCTGATTACAATATTATTTTCTGTCCCATAATAAATAGTGGCTAGTTATCTCAGTTTCGAGTTGTACAGATAGATGGATTTAAGTGAAATCATGGAGCGATAATGCTAGACAACCATAAAAAAAGCCTAGAAGCATTAGACAGCGTTTCATTCCAATATGGAGCTCCCTGACGGTGGTGTACAAGTTTAACTTCAGTCAGTCTAAAACAGTGTGCTACCATCTTTTATGGTCTTTGGTGGATACCCTCGTAACAACTAAAACGGTTTGATGTAATTATGCATCGTTTAAATATCAC